TTTATGTATATTTATATATTCATATACATATTATCATATAAAGAAATTTTTATTAGGTAGTATTAATTAATTGATTTTTTTACTTATTTAATAAAATTGCAACAACTCATAATGTTATGATATATTGATTTTTTATTACTATTTTTTATTACTTTCAAATCTGTTATTCTCCGTGAAACATTCTTCGATTAAAATTATGTACTTTTTAAAGAGAGAAAGCTATTCTATTAATTTAAAATAAGATTTACTTCATTCTGGGAAGAAAAAGAAAATTATTTTTAAAAATATTGTTCCAATGTGCAGTTGTGTTATATGTAATATGAAAAAAATCTCTTTTGCTTAGATAAGTTTGCTTTAATTTTTAATAAAACTATGTTATACTTACATTACTTGCGTGTGATTTTTATTGGGATTTTAATTTTATAATTACATCGTATAATATTGTATTTATATAATATTTAATTTTCTAATAATTACATTATATAGTAATCAGTAATGCAAATTGCAAAAAGTATTGTAATGTATATATTACACATATAGTAAAACATATAAATGCTAATTGTATTATTGAAGACACGATATAATCAATTCTAATAAAAATTCATTCTAATTTTGATCAGTCATCGTAAGTCGAAATGTTATTATTAACACACACATAATGAAATGTTGTTAAATTTATCAACAATTGATTCATACATTTAATGACGTAAGCAATTTCTTTACACGATTTTTTTACTTACCTATTTATATAAAGAATAAAATATGATATTGTTACATTTATAAACATAGTTTATTTAAAAAAAGCTCTTTTTTAATAAAAAAAAATTTCATTTTACAAAATCAGAGTAAAAACTAGAAATCGTCTATCTACTACAAATTATTCTACAATGAATATGTATTTGATATAAACATATAAAGTGCTTTACGATACATATAACATTAAAATTTATTATGGTCATTTATTCTGATCGCTAACATTAACGCTGAAATAAAATGGATGGTATAATAAAACCAAGATCAGAGATATTAATAAGGACAGATGATGACAAAATATATGACAATACGATTCTATTAATAAATGCAAGAAATACGATCAGTCATGATCCAATTATTGAAAGATGCTGATTGGTTGTTCTCGATGTGGCAATCGCAACGAAAACTACAAAAGATACCACCTAACCATCGACCCAATTTTTATCAACGATCTTGTTGCAAGTGTCATCATCTCTGTTCATAGAAAGCATAAATGCATAAAAAAATTTATAATATATATATAAATTAAATTAAATTAGAAATCGGAAATCTGACAATATCAGAATATAATTGAATTGTCAAAAAACAAAAAATTTTAAGAGACGATTGTCTGAAAAATTCTTTACATCAATTATATTTTTCTTTACATCAATTATATTTTTATAAATTTTTAAAAATCAAAAATAAACGACGTGGACGTCTATAACTTTATCAAAAATGACAAGTTATATGCCACCAAATTATATGCCATGGGAATCAAAATGGCGGCATTATCCAACGTACATCTACTCAAGAAATTATGGATTCGGAATAAATTATTATCAACCAATGATTGATTATATAGATTCCAAGCGAATCGCATCAAAATCATCTTTACCAGAACTTGAAAAAAGAATAGAATTACCTGAATTACCCTGGTCTGACAGCAAAGTTTTGTGGGAAGATAAAAAAGTGCAACCCTATACGAGAGATGATCTTATTAAATATGCAATTGATGCTGAGGACAAAGCCAGAGATCACCTATCTCATTTTAAGGTACTAGCGAGAAAGTGCAGATAAGTATTTGAATCCAAAGAGGAATTTTTGGGAAATATGAGGCGATCCGTTCTCCGAGTGTGCGCCTTGGCGACTGTTCGACCTTTTCGGTTTCTAAATTTAGTGCCGCGAGAGAGGTTGCTTCGTTTCAAGACAATGATCAAAGACGTGTGCATAGAAGCCGTGCGTAATTCGTGTCATTATTGATGTCGTTTTCTTTCGCAACTTATTTTTCGAACAAAAATATGCAATAACAACATATTATTTTTTCTTTTATTTAATTTCGTATACGTAACAAATAAAAATTAATTACCTAACAAATTTGCTCCTTTGATAAATTTTCTTTTATATATCATATTTAAATATCATATATATCATATTTAAATATCATAATTTAATGAAACGACATCGGGAATAATATAAAATTTATTTATAAGAAATAGATTTTAAAGACATGCAAAAACTGTAAGAAATTTTATAATTTAAATAAATTATACTAACTTATTTATTGCAATAAATAATAAATAAATTGTTTACATTGTTACTTAAACGCATCGTTCTGATATTTGTTGTTACTAAATAAATAATTATTATATAATAGTATATGACAATATACAATTCTTTTAATAATACGATCATATAATAATATTAACAATAAAATTATATAATAGTATATATCTAAAAGTTAAATATATAACAAACAATATTTATAAAATAAAGCAGTTTACTTTTGTATTTATACTTTTAAATGCAATCGTGCATACTGTCTTAAAGTATTCTAATATAATTAATATAGTATAATTAATTAATATAGTATAATTAATATAATCTATAATACAAATCATATCTTTAATAATACTTATAATATTAGAGATATTTTCTCTAAAAAATAATTACAATTACATTTTCGTTGAACAACTAATATATCTTAGTATTCCTTGGAACCCAAATAGGAAATTTGATTATAACATAATACAATCTTAAAAATAATGTTTATATATCCACAAAGGAAAGAGTTTTTCTAGCATTTAATAAAACTTTTCTTAATAATTTACTGCAGAAATTTCCTATATCAGTTTAGAAAAGCTATCCGAGTTATTAAAAATATCGCGAAATACTGCACCGAACAATTTCTTGGCATCCTATTATGTCTCATAGTCGTGATTAAGTCAGAACAGTTTGCCAAATCGTACAGAACAAAAATCCATTTCTGTTCCCGGACGAAAGGGACAGTAGGTGTTCGGTGCATTGGCAGTCGCTCTTGAATCTCTCAAGAGGATCGGTCATAAGTGGCGCCGATTACTTTCGCATTCTGGACCGCTGCGGCTAAGTTTAGGTGACCACGTCGCACAAGTGCGCGTGCATGACGGAAAACGGTGGTGCCCATTAGATGTACACATAGAAAAACACGAGCGACCAACGTGCGACATAAAATTGACGCTGACCATCTGTCTGCCTGACGTGCCCGAAGATAGCAAATCGCTCGGACTTCAGCCTGGCCAAGACCGTGCAAGCCAGCCGCGTGACCAAGGAGATTTTTCCGCGTACCGGAAAGGACTTGAAAAGACTACCCATGCCATTGATGTTCGCCAGCACTCGTGCCCGCAGCGAGGTCAAGGAGATCCAGCAGGAAGCGATGAGCAATATTAAGTTGCAAGCGTTGAAAGATGTTCGGATGATGACCGAGGTGAATGACGCGTTGAAGCATGCTAAAAGTCTCCGTGGTAAATCTGCGAAAGCAATAGAATTTCATCTGAGGACAGAAGCACTGAAGAATCTGTCCAAGAGCCAGGAGTTGGCTGATATCCGGAAATTCCAAAAGGAGACCATGCATTCTCTCTGGGACGATACGGTACACAGCAGATTGATGAATGAAAGGGCCAAGGCTCTAATTGATGAGGACAAGCTGATACAGCCACTTGATACGCTCAGCAAGGAGCTGCGCGGATTCGAGCAGAAGTCCAGCAATTATTTTCTAGATAAGAGGTATCAAGATCGTATGAGACGGGAACTTTTGTATGGGTGTCGAGGATGCGAGTATTATAATATTAAGCGTAGTAGATAGATAAGAGTTGTGACGTTATGATCGAGTTCTCAGTAGAAAAAAGGTACAATATTTTAATTTTTAGAAAAGAATAAAAATGCGTGAAATAGAAATAAATGATTTTAATAACTGATATTTGATTTTATGTTTAGAAGAAATTTATTTCTCTTGTAATTTATTTTAATATCCCCTTGTTCCGTAATATTATATTCTTTCATTATCAATTAGTACTGATTTTAAAAGACGCAGAAAAATTATATAAAAGTAGCCGAAAATTAAATCCCAGGATGAATAAAGTAAATCGATGGACACCAAACTGATAATAAGTAGGACTATTAAATACTAGATGTATCAAAATTGTTTGATGTATTCAAAATAGTAACTAACAAAATGTGTTCTTACATTTCGAAGAATAGCACTGTGATTGAAAATTTAATTGTTTAAATAATATTTATCAAAATAGAGAAAATAAAAAACTATTTGATATGTTTACATCGAATGAAATTAATAGTAAACAGACTAGCATCGAAATCGAGCAGTTGAATGCCCGCGTGGTGGAAGCTGAGACGAAGTTGAAGACCGAAGTTCAGCGTATAAAGAAGAAGCTCCAAATTCAAATCACCGAGCTCGAATTATCTTTGGATGTCGCCAACAAGAACAATATTGATTTGCAAAAGACCATTAAGAAACAGTCTCTCACTTTGACGGTAATATCGACACTTATATCTGCCAATGTGTTTAAAATAGCAACCATTTTACACGTTTAATTATTTTATTTTTCAGGAATTACAAGCTCATTACGACGAAATACAGCGCCAGTTGCAAGTAACCCTGGATCAATTAGGCATTAGTCAACGTCGTCTCCAATCATTGACGGCTGAGCTCGAGGAAGTCCGCGGCAATTACGAATCTGTAAGTAGAGAAATTGATTTGAAACACTTAACTTGAAAGAGATTGATTACAAAATGTGTTTAAAAAATTTAGTTTATCTTCCGGAATAAGTGAAGATACGAATAAATATCACATTATATAAGCATTACATAATGGTTATGTAAATGGGTATGTATAAAGCATGAAATTGTGTTGAAGGCCCTGCGTGCAAAGAGGACTGTCGAGCAACAATACGAGGAATCGGTTAGCCGTATCAACGAGCTAACTACAATCAATGTAAACCTCGCTTCATCAAGGGCTAAACTAGAGCAAGAACTAGCCACTTTGGCTGGAGATTACGAAGAGGTCACTAAAGAATTGCGAGTTAGCGATGAGAGATATCAAAGAGTACAGAATGAACTCAAGCACACCGTTGAGATTCTCCATGAGGAACAAGAGCGTATTGTCAAAATTGAAGCTATCAAGAAATCGCTGGAGATTGAAGTAAAGAATTTGTCCGTGAGATTGGAAGAGGTTGAGGCTAATGCCATTGTTGGAGGCAAGCGCATCATCAGCAAACTCGAAGCCAGGGTGAGAAGAAAGATAAAACTCTTTTTCATTTTAATATTATATCATTCTCTTATTTCAAAAGTAACACAACTGAAAAAAATGTGATTTTCGTGTTATCATCATAAATGAATTAGATAAAAATTATTCTATCAATTATCAAAAGTAAACTAACTTAAATTCACAGTTTGTCAAATAGCTGTCAAATATTTGTGTCTTAAGGTTTTCAAAAAGGTTATAATATCTTCTGTAGAAAAGGCACATTTTAAGTAGTATCATTTTTGTAAAAAAAAGAAAGAGAGATATTTTACAGATAATATTTAGAATTAAGACAGGTTTAATGATCAAAGTTTGAAGAAAAAATTGTTTTATTTTAAATTCAATTATTTTATTGTAGCTGATTGAAATAAATATAATACTTAAATAGTTTATGATATTTTGACTTACATTATTTTCAATTAATTATTCCGGATTTGTTATAATTTTGTAAGATGTCGAGAAATCACAATTCAGAAAAAATGGTTTTTTAAGAGTTGTAAAATTAATTTTCTGTATAGTTGAAAAATAATTTTTTTTTTTTTCTGAAAAACTTAATTTTTTTAATCATTTTTTTAAAGTAATAGATATATTTTTTAATATAAATTTATAATTAAAAAATAATTGAATCTTTTAAAATACAACTTTATACAATTAAATATTAATATAAAAGTTTTATATAATTAAATAAATTTAATGTTTTGTTAAAACATCTTTTAAATTTCGTTAACAATGCTTTTTTGATAATAATATTATATCATTATTATTATTAATTTTTAATAAATTTCGTTATTTATTAATTTTTAATAAATTTTGTTTTTATAATTCTTGCACAGATTCGTGATCTGGAACTTGAGTTGGATGAAGAGAAACGCCGACACGCTGAGACTGTAAAGATACTTCGTAAGAAGGAGCGTAACATTAAGGAGGTAATGATTCAAGTTGAAGAGGATGCGAAGAACATCGCTCTGCTGCAGGAATCATTTGACAAAGCATCCCAGAAAGTAAGCATCTACAAGAGACAGCTGCAGGAGCAAGAAGGCATGTCTCAACAAAGCGTCACCAGGGTCCGCCGATTCCAAAGAGAACTCGAGGCCGCGGAGGATCGCGCCGACACGGCAGAGAGCAATTTGAGCTTGATCCGCGCCAAACACCGCAGCTTTGTCACCACTTCAACCGTGCCCGGTTCCCAGGTATACCTCGTCCAGGAGACGAGGCAGGATCTGTAAAATAATCACCGTCATCTTACCCTTTGCCACTTCAAACGTCGTCGTCTTTATAAACGTATGTTTAATATAAAATGTGATACATAAAATAATATAGAATAATTAGATTTTTTAATAAATAGTACCCAGATAATAAAAAATGTCTAAAATCAGAACATAAGACGTTTTTTGCGCTTAAAAGACATCTTATGTCATAATTTTGTCTTATTTGGGTAATTAGTCTTACAATTGAAGAATGAAAATTTTGTATAGCTGTGTAATATTAATAGATAACAAATTATATTTTGCAATTATTTTTAAAAAATACAAAAATTTAAAGTGGTACTTAATTTTGTCAGGCACAATTGAACATCTTACGAGAAAAGAAGAAAGAAAAGGACACGATATCAGTTATCACAAAGAGGAAGAGAGAGAAAGAGAGAGAGAGAGAGAGAGAGAGTTTTCAACGGGCCGCAAACGTGTTATTTTCGAGGGGTTTAAATTGGAGCAACCAGAATGCGCACCTATAAACATAGTATCGATACGAATATAGTGCTCACTGTCACGTAACGACCCGTCGTAAATTCGAAATTACTTGGCCAACGAAATGCGATACATCGCAACGAAAACGTTACATTAAAAAAAATTAATGCTCACTATTTAAGAGATTTATTGAAGCATCAAAATCGATAAAATTATAAGAATCAATATATTGTTTAATAAATGGATAAATAAAATTTAACGATCTTCTCCCAATTATGTGAATATAATCAAACGTAAGAGCAGAGAAAACATAAAAAATTCAAGAAGAGAACAATGGTAATTTACGTCCTTCTATACGCGCGTGTCGCAATTGTATTTAAATGAATAATTTTAATTCTATTCTATTACTATATAGATAGGTAACTATTGCCCATATACACGACTCTCACTATACAACATACACAATAACCTGTGTCAACATTAATTTAATAAATAAAGTGAAACACGTACGTACGAAAATGTTTGTGTACTTCATTTTCCACATTTCTGAAAAATATTATCCCAAAAAATTTTATTAACTAGAGTTATTTTATAATCAAAATAATTAATAAAGAATAGATTAAAAGTTTTTTTTGAGTTTAATAATTCTAATATGTTTCCCATTGAATATTTTGACTGTAAAAGTACTACGACAACATACATATACTTGGAGAAAAATCAATCAAAATTTTAATCTCAACCATTTTATTACCACTTTTGGGATCGGAAAGTTAATCTTATAGCTATACATTTTGAGATGAAAAGAACAGTACTGACTAATTTGCAAAAGTTTAAAAAATTCAAAAAGAGTAATACATTTTATAGAAAAATTGAACATTGTATGAAGAAAACTAATATTGTGAAATCCAACTTTGAAAGAGTTAGTTGGATGAAAAACGTATAACTTCTACATCAAATTTATCGCAGAATGTTGAATCGGTAGTATTAAAATACTCTATTTTATTAAAAAATTAGTCGGAGCATGAAAAATTGATAAATTCTGACTGTTGTAGCAATTATGAGACTGTATCATCAGATAATGATGATGTATTTAATGATTTGAAAAACAAATGTATCGACATATGTGAGGCATTAAAAGAATGGGCGCTGATATATATATGCCATAATGCATTAAAAATATTACTGCATATTTTAATTTATTCAAAAATATCTAATGTGCCTTGAGATCCGAGGATACTATTGGAAATACTAAGAACAATGACTATTATAAAGATGGGAAGGGAACATTATTGACACAATAGACTACATATTTGCTTCGAAAGGTGCTTATCATGTGAAGAAAATTCGTATATCGCACTCTATTTTAATATCAATGGATTAACAATATTAATAGTTCAGAGTACAGTTTTGGTCAATATTGTTTTTGATTCATTATTTTAATATTGTTTCTATGATTATTGGAATTTAATTGTGGGGAAAATAAATCTTTAACTTCTGATGATTTTTTTAATGATTTTTCCTTTTTGTCGATATAATGTTAACTATTTTAAATAATGATATTATCATCAACGAATATAAAATTAATATATGTATTCGATGTTTTATATGTGAAATTCTTGCCAGATCTTTTATTAAAGATAGTAATCTACAAAAAAATTGAATTTATTTATTGTTAAACAATTGTAAAATATAATGAATAAAAATATTTATTATTAGTAATTATGTGTACTCTATTATATTTACAATATTTTTACATTATTTTTAATGTGTATTATTTTTTTTTAAATAATTATATTAATTAATAATCTTTTTTTACAGTACTGTTAATTTTAATGATTATAGTTTTATTTATGGATGTATTTAACTATGGATGAATATTATTATGTTAAAGAACCTGGAGTTTTCCACGTATAGAAATGCCTAATAGGACTGATG